GGGGGTGCTGGTCGGTTATTTCCGTTCCCTACCCTCTTTTGTTTGGTTCCGTCTGTTGTCTTATTTGCCACCAGCATTTGCAGTGGAATATGTAGAATCTTTGTTTTAGTCCTTGTCAGGTGTATGAGAATTACATCATTTTGTATGTACATCCAATGACTGTTCGTGTATGTGTATCTGTGTGTGTAGACACACGCACATGTGTGTGTTGGGTGTGTGTTTATTGACATGTGCATATGCGTGTATGTATATTTACCATGCTGCAGCAAAACCTTAAGATCAATGGAACCAACATCAAACATGAGGACTATCCCAAGTACCTTGGTGTACAACTGGACCGAAAGCTGTCTCTCAAAGAGCACTTAGGGGAGCTGACCAAGAAATCCACCTCCAGACTAAACCTCCTGAAACACCTTTCATCACTCAACTGGGGAGCTGACAAAGCTACCCTCCGACAACTTTATATAGGGTGTGTCTGTGATTTACTACTCCCTACCACTACAATCCATGGCCAGCCAAAGCACTTTGGCACAGCTTGACAGAGTACAGAACCAAGCACTCAGATTTGTTTCTGGTACAATGAAGACCATGCCTACTAGCGCCTGCGAAATCCACACCAACATAGAACCACTGGACCTCTGAAGAAATAGTGCCACCCTCGAAACCTACGAAAGATTTGTGCGACTAGTAGACACGAAAGAAAACAGAAAAATGGCAGATGAGTGGGAACCAAGAACACGCATCCAGAAGACCTCCTTCATGCGAGAAGCAACAAAACTACTGAAGGAGTTTGACCCACCTGAGAACAGAGAACCAATCACCAACATCAGCAGCGAACCTCCATATTGGCAGACACCAGAAATCACAATAAGGACGGGACTTCTAGACCCTTCTTGTGACAAGACCACACCAGAAGAAATCCTAAGAACTAGTGCCTTAGAGACAGTGGACTCGTATGCTGAAACCCCTATTCATGCATACACAGACGGATCAGCAACAAATGCTACACGGAATGCTGGATACGGATCCATCATCAAATATCGAAACAACCTGGAAGAGAAGAAGCAGACCCAACTATTTGGCCCTTGTGGAACATACAGCTCCAACTATGACGCAGAGAGAGTTGCCATAGTAAAGACCCTGGAGCAGATCACCCAAGACTTTTTTGAAGGCGCAGTAACACCAGGGGATGTTGTTGTCTTCTCTGACTCAATGTCAGTACTCCAAGCCGTCAAGGGAGGAGGAGACTACAGAGATGACAGGAGCATTCTCAGCCTTGTAAAACAGATGGGCACAAACTGTGGCGTCCGGGTCACACTGCAGTGGGTGCCTGGCCATTATGGAGTACCAGGG